ACCTCAGCCTCCTGAGTAGCTGGGATTACAGGCATGCACCACCATGCCCAGCTGATTTTTTTGTATTTTTAGTAGAGACGGGGTTTCACCATGTTGACCAGGATGGTCTTGATCTCTTGACCTCGTGATCCACCCGCCTCGGCCTCCCAAAGTGCTGGGATTACAGGCTTGAGCCACCGTGCCCGGCCGAATATGTCGCACTATTTAATGAAAATACAGTAGGTCTTTCCCTCCAAAATTATTATCCCAATAATACTTACAGAAAATTAAACAGAACATACAGGCATATTTTTAAAAAGATGTTTTCAAAATAGATATTCTGGAAAAAAAAAACTAAAAATGATCAAACTATGGTGATATTCTGGCTGTACAAGACAGCCTGTATTATTTTTGTTTGTAAGTGGTTTCAATGAGACAGATGTCTAATCAGGTCAATTTTTTGATTGAGTAAATATATTGAGAACCTTCAAAAGTCATAAAGTGTAAGATGGCTGTGTTTACTTGGATCACATATTGAACAAATAAAAATGTACTAGGGCAATGTCTTAAAGAGCAGACAAAGAAACATAGTATTATTTTGATTGCTAAAAAGAGTTGTGTTTATTAATCTTTTTTAGTGAAACTTTGTCTTTCTGATGTCACAATGAAGAGCGGCTTTCTTCAAATAAGAGAAATTTCACAGGCATCATTTAGCCAGCTACTGAATGTGATTCATTCTTGAGTGAGCAATTAGAAATTTTAAAACAAAGTTACATACTTATCCAAAACAGCTTATAAAATAGTGACCAAATAACTAGGAGTTGCATACAAACTGAATTAGACAATTGAATCAGTAAACCATATACTACTCCATTATTCTAAACTGTGTTGGGTATGACAAATACTTATAAGTTGGTGATAATTGTGCATACTTTAATAACAGAAAACCTTCACCATGGTTTTTAACTTTTTTTTGCCAAATGAAAATCATCTATCTGCGACTTTATTCAAAAAAGTTAAACAAGTGAACAATCATATGAAAATATAGCCATTATGAAAGGCAAATACAAAAGGCTGCCAGCGGTCTTTCAAAACATGAATAATTACATTCCCGAATCTCTCCCAAGAAAAACCTGCCTCCACAGTACTGAAGCTGTTGATTACTGCAGTATTTCTAGAGTAGTTCATTTGTTTGTTTTCCAGTTTTGTCTAGTATAATAGAAATTTGATGTGAGCCACGATTAAAACTGTCTACTAGTCACATTAAGACAAAAAGAATTAAAGAAACGGGGCTGGGTGCAGTGGCTCACGCCTGTAATCCTAGAACTTTGGGAGGCCAGAGTGGACAGATCATCTGAGATCAGGGCTTCAAGACCAGCCTGGCCAACATGGCAAAACCCAGTCTCTACTAAAAATACAAAAATTAGCCTGGTGTGGTGGTGCATGTCTATAATCCCAGCTACTCAGGAGGCTAAGGCAGGAGAATCACTTGAACCTGGGAGTCAGAGGTTTCAGTAAACCAAGACTGAGCCACTGGACTCCAGTCTTGGCAATAGAGTGAGACTTAATCTCAAAAAAATTAAAATAAAGTAAAAAGAAACAGTTAAAATTAATTTTAATGATACATTTTATATAATCAATAAAATATGTTTAAATAATTATATATTTTAATTTAATATATTTAACATTTAATTATATGTCGCACAAAATTCAGTGTGTATTTTACTTCATGGCACATCAGTTCTCACCAGCCTAATTTTAAGTGTTTGTCGAAGTCAAATAAAATACAAAGATGAATCTCTAAAGTTAAAACATTTTACTTGGGAAGGAAGAATTGCAATTCAGGCCATATACACAGACCAGTGGTCCTCATTATATCTGAAGAAAAAAGAGAAGGTTGGAGAGTTTATAAAAAGGATAAATGCTATGTATTGTTTTGAAAAAAAGTTCATTCTGGGAAGCTGATTAGTTCTGATTAGTGAGAGACTACAGTGGTACGAAAAACTAGTCTTAGAGTTGTAGCAGGTTGTTTCAGTAGCTGTCAGGTAAAACCGATTTCTGGTTATAGCAGGCAGTTTCAGCAGCCAAGCTTGCAGAGGATTACATTCTTGGAGCCATGTGATGTGCCCTGAATGCTTTCTCCCCTTGGCCTCTCAACTCTGTTTACTTGGGTATGTCGAGAATGACCCAGTATGTAGGATCAACTTTCACATGTTCAATAGCCACATGTGGCTGATGGTTACCACATTAGACAGTGCAGGTGCAGTAGTTTGTGTGTTTTAAACACATACACCAACTTGGATTTGTCTTTAATGGACCCAAATGTGGTGAAACACTTTGCCCATTATAAAGTTGTTCAAACTTTGCCACAGGAGTGCAAGCAAACAATGAGCTCAGTTCAATACAGGGCCCAGGCTGTCTTCTGAGTTCACACCTCCCCTATGTCACTTGAGGGACCACATGTGATGAAGATGATCAGAAAAGTGTAGCTAGTTGGTGCCATCAGAGGGGTAGCCAGGCAAGAGTAGCAATATTGGGGCAGCAGTGATAGCTGGTGACCAAGCAGCTGAGCCACAGGCTTGCAAATGGGGCATCCTGAACAAAGGTTACAAGATTATACAGGAGACCCCCAAAGCTCATGAGGAAAACGAGGGGCCACTGAGGACATAATTAACCTTATTGAATGCCAATGAGGGTGTCCCAGCACCCACTTGATGCTTTGTATCAGGTGTGACAACTCACTGAGCCTCAGAACAAACCACAGGTTAGATATCATTACCCTGAATTTACAGACAACTCCAGAAAAGCACAGGACAGCTGAGTATTTGCTGGTTCTCACACAGCAAGGAGTGGAATCTGAATTGCAGGCCATATCTGTGTTGCTTCAAAGTCTCCACACTCCACCCTGTGCCACAACATCCCTTTCAGAGAGCATGGTGTTCCACTGGGTGTCTCAGGAATCAAAAACACAAAAATCACTCCCACACTTTGATAAGCAAGATCTTACTTCTGGCATTGCCTGAAGAAATCAAGAGTTTTCTTGTTACCACTGTGCTTTGGATCAAGAATGGCCTAGGAAATTAAGAATTACCCTGTGGCCTGGTGCAAAGAAATGCAAGAGCAGCTGCTTGGCGGGCCTTATAAAGAGTCCTCTCATGTTCTGGTTTCTAGAAATGCATTGCATCATACCGTGGGGACCAGCTACATTGCTCAGTATTTCTAAATTCCATTTGAAGCAGCACAGCTCTTATTTCCCTCAGACTTTCTGTTTCCAAGAGCTCTCCTAAGAAATTAAGTGGGTGGAGTTTATGTATTTTTCCTTCTCTCTCTCTGGTAGCTAGGCTTCTTAAATGTATCTAGGAAAGTGCTTCTAAATGTAACTAAAAGCATAGGAAATTGATCTCAATTGGAGTGAACAGTCTCTGTAATTAAAAGCTGATTATCTCCTCCTAAGCCCTTCTGTTTCTGAGCATTTTAAATGTTTAATCACTTAAATGTTGATTTTTCTCTAAATGTTATGTCAATTTATCATTAAAAATACTTCATCTGGCCAAGCCCAGTGGCTCACGGCTGTAATCCCAGCACTTTGGGAGGCCAAAGTAGGTGGATCACCTGAGGCCAGGAGTTCAAGATTGGCCTGACCAACCAGGCAAAACCTGTCTCTACAAAAAATACAAAAATTAGCTGGGCATGGTGGTGCATGCATGTAGTCCTGGCTGCTCGGGAGACTGAGGCACTAGAAGTACTTGAACCCAGGAGGTTGCAGTGGGCCCAGATTGTACCACTGTACTCTAGCCTGGGTAATAGAGTAAAACTCTCTCAAAAACAAAACAAAACAAAACAAAACCTAAATTCATTCCACATAGCCATCATTATTTTACAAATCTGATTTTAAAATAAAGTAAAAAAGGTTTAGTATAGCCATTAGTCACTGCTTTACATGGCCACGGCTAGCATGACCATATAGAGCAGCTTTAAAACATTCTCTCAGTGTACCAGTCTCTAGTAGTGCCTGGTATATCATTATCTGCATGCCCAGAGCCAGAGACCCAGGCCCTGAAAATCATGCTATTTTGCTCGAGTCCTCTCATAAATTAATAGCACAGCCAAGAACTGAATTAGGTCCGGACTTCTAATGTGAGTTTCCTCCACTGAACATGGCTTGGTTCTCAGTGCACAGAGGGAAACATTAGGCTCACAGATATATCAGAGATGGCAGCTGATACAGACAAAGAGTTTTGTCCTGTCGTATGATTAATAAATATAATCAGCATTTATAAGCAGTAAAAATGTATCGGGTCTCTGTTAAGTGTCTTTTGTGCATCAGCCCACACAATCCTTACACGATGTGAGATAGGGCGGGTGTTTTTCCCAGTTTTCTCTTGAGGGAATGGGGGAAGAGAGAGGTTAAATAACTTGGTCCAAGTTCACTCAACTAGTAAGTAGCAGAACTGGGACTAGATCCAGTTTTGTGGACAAAAAGAGCTTTAACCCCTGCATGTTGGCCAGGCTGGACATGCAACATCCTAACATCACACTGGCCTGTTATTATAAAATGGCCAACGTGATAAAAAGTTTATTTCAGGTCCATCTCACCTTCTTTTGAGACCTAACTCTCAGGTCAATTTTTTTTTCCCCAGAAGGTGATTTTCATACTTGATTATTAGTGTTTGGGATTATAAGAATCAGCACTGGGCTGGGTGCAGTGACTCACGCCTGTAATCCCAGCACTTTGGGAGGCCGAGAAGGGTGAATCACTTGAGCTCAGGAGCTCGAGACCAGCCTGGCCAACATGGTAAAACCCCATATCTGCTAAAAATACGGAAATTAGCCATGCATTGTCGCGGGCACCTGTAATCCCAGCTACCTGGAAGGTTAGGCACAAGAATCGTTTGAACCTGGGAGGTGGAAGTTGAAGTGAGCCAAGATTGTGCCATTGCTCTCCAGCCTACGTGATAGTATGAGACTCCATTTCCAAAAACAAACAAACAAACAAACAAACAAACAAAATCAACTCTGAGCATTCATTCTTTAATTAACACCAAGGCTGTGAAGGTGGAGAGCCTGGTTCACATCTTCGCTCTGCCACTTACCCATTATGTTAACCCTGGCACACAGCCATTTTGAGTTTCTTCTGACATAACATGAAGATCTGAATAATGTCCTCCTTCACAGGGTCTTCTTAAGGACTGGATAAAATAATGGATATAAATGTTTAGTTTATTGCTTAGCACATAGTAAATACTCTATAACCATTAACTAGTCTTATTTTTATTTTCAGCACATTTTTGTTGAGCACCTATTATGTCAGGCATTGTTAGTGCTACTCCGTATGGGCTCTAAAACTTCGACACAGGAGATATTTGGCATAGGATTCTGGGTATGGGGAGAACAAGAGGCAGCAGATTTATCTTAAAGCTGCTCTATTTAACACTGTTTGAGAAACATTGGTTGAATATACAAAGACTTGTGAGGGTAGACTGGCGGAAACCATGGGGGGGCTAATGCCTCTCTTAATCCATCCCTTGTGGCCACAGCTGTAGGTTAACAGGGAATGCATATACATATCTATGTACCTGGCATTGTGGTAGTAAAAAATTGGATAAGGCACCACCTTTAAGAACTTAACCATCTATAGACATGTAAATGCCTCATGTGGTAGGAGATTTTCTGATGGAAAGTTCCTGCCAAGCACTGTGGTGATATGAGAGAAGGAGCTGATAATGTCTTGTGGAGTTGGGTACCACTTCACAGATATCCTGTTTGAGCTGGGTCTTGTAGGACACGTGAGACTATGCCAAGCAGAGAACCGCAGCCAGGATCAGTACGTACAGTAAGCACAGAGAACAGTACGTACAGTGCCTATTGGCAGCATTTAAAGGACTGTGATATTAAAAAAGTAGTGTTTGAGAAATAGTTTAGGAATCAATGTGGCTGCAATTTGCAATATAGTTTAGGGGCAGAACACCAGATTAGCAGTGGGACCAGATTGTCTGCAAGAGGAAGGCATTTGGATCTCATCATTTAGATAATGGCTAGCTCTTACTGATATTTAAACAAGAAAATAATATGATTGCATCCATATTTTAGGGAGATTAAAAAATCAGAGTATAGTGCTGGCTAAGAGCCTCTCCAATTGCATTTGTCAAAATATCCTAGAGAGGGCATCAATAATAAACAAATCACACACCTCAAAAGCTCAACAGGATGCAGCAGAACCAGGACCAGTGCTGCTTGCCCAGATGTACGTTTCTTCCTGTCTGTTCAGGGCTGACATCCACCTCTGACTCCTCCACACTCTGGAGAATATTCTGTTTCATCTGTCCATGACTTAATAATGAAAAGAATTATATCTGAATTATAAATACTTTTAAAAAACACTTCATAAAGACGAAATGGATGCTAATTTTGTAGTATTTAGCACTGTTACCCTAGTCAGCAGCGAGTGGCAATATTATCTGAATAGGCATAAAGATAAACACTGGGCCGGGCGCGGTGGCTCAAGCCTGTAATCCCAGCACTTTGGGAGGCCGAGGCGGGTGGATCACAAGGTCAAGAGATCGAGACCATCTTGGTCAACATGGTGAAACCCCGTCTCTACTAAAAATACAAAAAAAATAGCTGGGCATGGTGGTGCGTGCCTGTAATCCCAGCTACTCAGGAGGCTGAGGCAGGAGAATTGCCTGAACCCAGGAGGTGGAGGTTGCAGTGAGCCGAGATCACGCCATTGCACTCCAGCCTGGGTAACAAGAGCGAAACTCCGTCTCAAAAAAAAAAAAAAAAAAGATAAACACTGAAAGAACCAGAAGTTTGGGGTTGGAAAATAATTTGCAATGACTGAGAATTATTTCCTTGTCTAAAACAACTGAAGATGATAACTTGGGGTTGTGCACTGTGGACATTGTTTCCCTCTGCCTCATTGCAGAGGTTACGCAATCGTTCTGATTTTCCAGCTGTTTCTAATCAAGTTAAATGCAAATTTAAAAACATGCTCTGAACTGAAATCACATCATCGCCTGACATCATTGTTCTTGCTTCAAGCAGACCAGGGGAATGGAATCTTTTTAGTGTGTGTTTACAGTGCATACTTTTGTTCCTAACAGAGACGGTAACTACTAAATGATGTTAATTAAGCCAGTCTGCTCTATTCTCTCTCCAGCCCCCTGTCCTTTGTAGGTCTCATTAGAGAGACTATGCGCCAAGCCAGGGCATTTAGTGCAGTCTAGTGTTTGACACGGGCCAAATATGATAACTAAGACTTCAGATGACATCACCCGCTTCTGAATATTAGCCAGAGCTCAGAGGTTGTTCAGACTACCTACAAACTGTTCAAATTACCTGCAGATTTCCTAAACTGCACTACATTCTCACTTCTGACCAGAGATGCAAACATCCCAAGTAAAATGCTAGCAAAACTTATTCCACAAGGTAGTAAAGGACTGTAAGGATGTCCCATGGGAGGCAGTATAGAATAAGTGTAACTAGTAAGACCCCAGCCTCTAAAAACAGGCCAACTATTGTCCAATTTTAACTCCCACTTACTGCACAACTAACTTGACCTCTCTAAAGATTAATTTTCCCATATGTATAATGGAGAGACTATGTCTCTCATGGGTTTGTTGAGTGTCTGACTCAAAATTGGAGAGAAAACTATAGGAAGAAACGCTGCTCACAGTCAGTGAAGAGCAGGACCAGGATTCATCCTCAGCTTCATTGGACTTAGAACCTAGGCTCTTAACCTCTAAGCTGTAATGGAACCATGAGGTAGATATTAAAAAAAACCAATAGGGTTGCTTTTCTGAGCAGTCTGTATGTTAGATAATAATAAAAGTAAATGATGAAACTGTAAGGAAACCATGAAGGAAAGTGTATAGACTTGGCCACATAATTTTTTAAAACTTTCCGTATAAAAAGCAGTTTAAAGAAATTTCAGAAATAAATAATACACCACACTGAGCATAATATTCACCACATATTGTTAACCTAAATCACAGAGACTCTCTGAAAGAAGAGACGTTTAGTTGAGAATAGAGCTTTGCAATGGGAGTAGGCCTGTCATAGTAAACTATGTGCATAGTCAGGGAGGTAAAGACAAAGTTCTCCGAAGGGAAAAATGAGGAGGATTACATAATTGTTTTGAAATCATCATCCTTGGCTGCAAAGATCATTAACAAGGGTGTCTCCAGTCTGAGGTTGCAGAGGCCAGTTGCTGGGCAGATGTCTTCATAGAAGTTTCTTGTGTGTGTGTGTGTGTGTGTGTAAGGTTGTGGTGCCTTTGTGCAAGGTTGTGGCCTTCGTAGTCTTTTTTGTGATCACACACTGAAGAGTGAGATCCATCTCTCCAGGGCCTCCCGTGGCTCTGTCTCAGGATTTTCTTAACATGAGTCACTCACTCCATTGTGATTCCAATAACTTTCACAATAGATCAGTTAGTATTTTATTACAAAAACATCTTTAGAGGTATTTTAAAATACGAATATTCAGTGAAAAAAGGCAAACCCCATCCATTGAAACTTCAGATAATAAATACAAACGTGAAGCCAATAAATGTGAGGAAAATATTCAAAGAAAGAAAAATTATCCAGAATCATTATATGGAGAGAATGCCCATGCTGTAGTGGTCCTCCCTGGGCCCCTTTTCTCTCTGACTCCCATGTCTCCCTAAGCTGGGCAGGCGAGGCCTGTCAGAACCCCGCTTCTACTGACCTGCCAGCCTCCTTTCCTCCACACCGCGTGGTCCAGCCCACAGGACGCAGTAGGCTCCTGACATTCCCAGATTTCACTTTCCCGGCGTTGGCTATGTGTGAGCTGCTCTGCTGAGGCCTGAATTCACATCACAGATGTGTGAGGGGTATGAGCTGTGAGTCATGCAGCTAGTGAGGGAGCCTAGTTGGCTTCAAGCCTTCCCAATGGAATGAGCCTTATTGTTTCAAATTCATTGTTAGGGCATTCTCATAAAGTCATAAAAATTTTTTCTTTTTGCAAAATGGCCATGAAATGGGGGTTAAGTCAAAGCGCGAAAGTATTAGAAAGTTTTGGTTCTCCACCAGAAGAAAGAAATCTTGAGTATCAAATGTGCTGTGCTGCAACAACCATAGTGGTATTTATGAATAGAGTATTCTAGCAGCCCTGCAGGCAATCCCTTTGAGTGTTAGGAGTCTGCTGCCTTGCTCTTCCCTGCTTGTGTGTTCCTTGAGGGTGGGGTGCTTTTGCCCCTGTTTCTTACCCTTTTGCTTCCCTTCCCCACCCAAAGCCCCTATGGCGCTTCCTTTGCCAAGCCTGCTCTGCAAATGGCAGATTGGGTCTTGTCATCTGTGTATTGCTTCCATGCTTTGTCTGTGCAAACTGTAACACAGAGGTTAAGAACATGAATTTGAGAGCCAGAATGCCTAGGTTCGATCCCAGCTCTGTTACTTATCAGCTATGTGATCTGGAGCCTGGTTATGTAACCTCTCTGTGTCTAAGTTCCTTCATCTGCTAAATGGTGATAATAATAGCACCATGTCATAGGGATGTCGTAAGCCTTAAATGAATTAATAGCTATAACGTGCTGAGGACAGTGTTTGACCTATAGTAAGCAGTGTTTTGTTATTCCACTACAAACCTTCTCATGCTTCATTATGTTACTGGAAAGGGGACTCGATCCAGACCCCAAGAGAGGGTTCTTGGATCTCGCGCAAGAAAGAATTCAGGGCAAGCCCACAGGGTAAATTGAAAGGAAAGTTTAGGAAGAAAGTAGAAGAATAAAAGAATGGCTACTCCATGGAGCAGCCCTGAGGGTTGCTGGTTGCCCATTTTTATGGTTATTTCTTGAGGATGTGCCAAACAAGCGGTGGATTATTCATGCCTCCCCTTTTCAGACTACATAGGGTAACTTCCAGATGTTGCCATGGCATTTGTAAACTGTCATGGTGCCGACAGGAGTGTAGCAGTAAGGACAACTAAAGGTCATTGTCATCGCCTTTTGGTTTGGGTGGGTTTTAGCTGTCTTCTTTACTGCAACATGTTTCATCAGCAAGGTCTTTATGACCAGTATCTCCTGCTTACCTCCTATCTCATCCTGTGACTTCGAATGCCTTAACCGTCTGGGAATGCAGCCCAGTGGGTCTCAGCCTTATTTGACCCAGCCCCTGTACAAGATAGAGTTGCTCTGGTTCACACTCCTCTGACAATTGTTAACAGTTTTTATATACAGCAAGATTTCTTTTAAAGCACTACCATAACTCAGTCATTTGGGAAAAGTATAGTCCCTTAAGCTTGTTTGTAGTTCTTCTGGGCTTCCTCATGAATTGAAAACGACTGCCTCCATCTCTCTTTCTCAGAGTTAAAGTAACCAAACTTACTTTGGCTTTGCAAACTGAGTTTATTCCAATAATTTAAACATCTCATTGACAACGTCCAGTCTTTGGGATGCTTGCTTACTTGTATGCCCCCAACTCCACCCTCTGGGGTTTACAGAGGCAGGGAGGGAGGATGGCCTACCTCTGACGGAGGAGCTCAGGGTCCTCAGATCCATGCTATACTCTCGGATGCTGTTTCCCCAGCAGAGATGGGATGTTCCTGCATTCCACTGGAGCGGACTACTGCTGATTCACACTTAGCGCTTTCTCAACTCTGGAATCATCATCTTGCTGATTTAGTCCCCCATGGTGTGGACACCCCCAGGGCACTGTGTGTTTTCTGTTTTGCCCCTATTCCAGCTGGTCTACCCCAGCTCTCCTGCGATGATGCTGGCCCTAACTTAGCATCCCTCCTGAATGACTGCTGTGTGGGAAGCCTCGGAGGGCAAACTGGAACCTTCCTCTGCCTGAACTGGCTACTCTGCCCTGTGCTTTATCCTGGGATACCCAGGATATCCCACAACCCCCTGCCAGACTCCTAATCCTCCATCCCCCAGTATTGCCCAAATCCATCGCACACAGACCCATCTCTGCCAGTCATCTTATTCCTGCAATCCCCTGGAGGAGAAGGGGGCTTTCCTCCTCTTCACCCTGATTGACTGTACCATGAAGCTGTGTGTTCTGGACAGCCAAGCCTGGCCCTTTCATTCCTTCACATCATAGCTCAATAATGCCCAGCTTTCAAGCTGATTTTATAATGAAAAAGTTATATTTTGAATGTTAGACTTTGAATGCCAATATTTTCTTGTTCTTTGGCAACAATTTAAATTCCCTCAGATGAAGAAAGAAGGTTAAATGCAGTAAACTCTCCGATGCACCTACACACAAAATACAACATATTAGCCCTGTTGAGTGCATTTGTCTCCCACTTTGCCTTTGTACTCAGCAGGCGTGGGATTTTCTCCCATTTAGATTCGAATCCTGGCTCTACCACTTGCTCTGGGATCTCACACAAGTTACTTAGCCTGCCTGTGCCTGTTTTTCTTTCTCTTTTCTTAATGTGCACAGGCAAACAAGAATATTACCTTGTGTGATTGTTTGGAGAGTTAAATGACTTACTGCATGGAAAATTTTCAGAACAGTGCTTGGCATATCCTAAGTGCTCAGCAAATGAGAATGATGATTATTATGAGCTCAATCCTTGTCCAAAGTATTTTACTCAATTAATGGTTGAAAGATCACACAGTGAGGCAATAGATTAGGAAGTCTGAGGATCAGCCCAAAAATATGAGTTTAATTGCATTCTTTCCTAAAAAAAGAGATCACTTGTAAGAGCAACTCTTCCTGCCTATTGCAATCATAAGTGAAATTGCAGTAATAGTAGCCTAAGGAGGTGAAAAGGGTATGGCCCTTCTCACCTGCAGTTCTGTTCAGATGAGCCACGTGACCCTGGATAAGCCATGTCACTTTCCAATCTTTCTCCCGTGGTTTCATGAGATGTCTAGGTTTCTTTCAGTAAAAAATTATGTTCCTTATTTCTCTGAAGAAAGAGCATGCCGATTTTCGACTTAGACTTGTGGAGTAGCATCCGCCCAAAACTCCCTTGGATGATTGAGTCCTGCTTTAAATGGGCTTCTTGTACAAGAAAAATTCAAACAATTTTTTCTTGAACTTTCCACAAAACAATGTTTTTCTTAGATCTGCTCAAATAGAGTATGCAAATTAAATACTCCTGATCATAGTGGTGCCCACCTGTAGTCCTAGCTACTCAGAAGGATAGCTTGAGCCCAGGAGTTTGAGACTGCCATGAGCTGTTATTATGCCACTGCCCTCCAGCCTGGGTGACTGACTGATATCCTGTTTCTGAAGAAAATAAAAAAAGAAAGAAAAAAAAATTGGAGTTGTCTAAATGTGTATGCTTTGAACTCTTTACCTCAAGTTCTTTCTTTTTCTTTTTTTTTTTTTTTTTTGAGACGGAGTTTCGCTTTTGTTACCCAGGCTGGAGTACAATGGCACGATCTCAGCTCACCGCAACCTCCGCCTCCTGGGTTCAGGCAATTCTCCTGAGTAGCTAGGATTACAGGCACGTGCCACCATGCCCAGCTAATGTTTTGTATTTTTAGTAGAGACGGGGTTTCATCATGTTGACCAGGATGTTCTCGATCTCTTGACCTCGTGATCCACCCGCCTCGGCCTCCCAAAGTGCTGGGATTACAGGCGTGAGCCACCGCACCCGGCACCTCAAGTTATTTTGTTTAAAGGCACTGATGAATTTAATTGTGAAATTCTGTATGAATAAACCAATAGCAGTAAATGTTTAAGCAACCTTTGAGAAAGCACTTTCTTAAAAAACAGCAACAACAAAAACCTTAAAGCATTACATTCATTTCTGTTACTCTGTTTACTCATCATAGTGTGGCTGTTTCTAGTGATACTTATCAAATGTTCTTCAAAGTATTCAATGTGGCCCAGATTTTAATGCTTTAAGATCTTGGCATAATTGTTTGACTATCATTTTTTAAATTTTTGATAACTGTAAGTGGTGATAGCTAATCTTTAATGTTATAGTCATAAGAGTTTGTTTATAATCTGCATATTCTATGTGATAGACCTAGGACAAATATTGTTTGAAGAAAAGTTCAAGAATCATCTTTAGTTTCATCTTATATTATCTTGACCTGTTAATTAATTTACACAAGTATATGTTGTCTAACAACTATTCATGTGTTAATTTAACTGTCTTCCATTTTCTTACATGGAAGAGTATATTAACAAACTATTTAAATACTGTAACCACATCGTCTTGCACTAAAGAAATGGCCAAGATGAGTATAAACATCATGACATAGGTTTAAGCCAACTATGCTGATGAGAAGGATATTCACACATGAATTTTTTTCACTTTAGTTTTCTTGAGTACATGTCCTTTATTCAGACCAGTAATTACTCATTTTCCATTGTTTACTTTCAGTTCTCCAAATTCATCCCTTTCTTCTTACTCTTCCTATTTTTTCTCTCTCTTTTTCTTTCTTTCTATCCTTTTTTCTTTCTTTCTCCCTTTCTCTCTCCCTTTCTCTCTCTCTCTCTCTCTCTCTCTCTCTCTCTCTCTCTCTCTCTCTCTCTTTCAACAGTCTTGCTCTGTTGCCCAGGCTTCAGTGCAGTGGCACAATCTCAGATCACTGTAACCTCCACCTGCTGGGTTCAAGTGAGTCTCCTGCCTCAGCCTCTCAAGTAGCTGAGATTACAGGTGTGTGCAACCATGCCTGGCTAATTTTTGTATTTTTAGTAGAGATAGGGTTTTGCCATGTTGGTCAGGCTGGTCTCCAACTCCTGAACTCAGGTGGTCCACATGCCTCCGCCTCCCAAAGTGCTGGGATTACCAGCATGAGCCACCACACCCAGCCACTTTCTTCTTATTTTCTATTTACTTTTAATTTTAGATCATATTCTACTGCTAGTTGAATGCCTTTCTCCATTCAGACTTTAGA